GAAACTCAAACGCTCACAGCTGTGCGCCTCTACACAAACCAATCAGCCCAGGCCTACATTTTCACCAACAGAAGCAGGAGTAGTTGGTATATTTTCTCTATGGAATTACAAGATGCATAAAACATCTAGAATCGCATCAGAGAACACACTCTATAGAGTAAAAAGGCAACTTAAAGAATGAAGTTATTTGCCACCCATCTCTGCTCACAATATGTGAGTTATATTCAAAGCTACAAAGAGCTACAGCTAAACAAGAGTCAACTTATTCATTTTTAGTGGCCAAATTACTCGGACAAACATTTCTCCAAGGGTGAGAGATGTTTGGACCATGCGCAGCACAGAAAATGTTCAACTAGGAAGTCCCTGGGAAATGCCAGTTAAAACCAAAACCACAGTGAACCGTCTTACACCCATCCTGCTGGATACCTCCAAGAAGAAAAACAAGTACCCAGAGGGTACCAAACATTGGGAGGATATGGAGAAATCAGAGCTTTGATGTTATTGGTGGGAATGTACATGGCAGCCATCGTTTTATGGGGGAAAGTATGCTAATTCCCCTGAGGATTAAAAATAACGTTTCCATATGATCCATTTCTAACTACAAAGAATTAAATAAAGAATTGCCAGAACAGCCTCATTCGATAGCCAAAATAGGATGAGTGGGTAAGTGAAATGCGGTCAATACATCCAACCATGCATCACTCAGCCTTCAAAAGGAAGGGAAATCTGACCCATACTATAACACAGTGAACTGTGAGGATATCATGCTAAGTAAAATAAGCCAGTCAGAAAAGGCTACACATCCTAGCATTCCAGCTCCATAAGGCTCCCGGCATGGTCACACCCAGGGAGACAAAATTGAATGGAGGTTGCCAGGGGCCCTAAGAAAGGGACTTATTTAATAATTTCAACTTTGCAAGCCAAAAAAAGTCTAGAGATTAGGGCTGGAAAGATGATTCTGCTTTGAAAACACAAGAGGATTGGAGTTTAGTGCCCAGAGCCCATGTCAAAATGCCAGACAGAGGTGAGTGCTGTCGCTGGAGAGATGGCTCGGCTGTAAAAGGCACCAATACTTCTCTAAAGGAGCTGGGTTCAGTTCTAAGCACCCACATGGTGACTCACAGCCATCTGCAACCCCAGTTCCTGGAGATCTGGTGGGTTTCATCCTCTGGGGATGTACACAACACATAGACATACACGCAACAAAACATTCATACACATGAGGTACAATAAAGTTATATATTTATATAAATAAATATACAAATAAAAACCAATAAATGATCATACACACTGTAGTCCCAGTACTGAGGAGACAGAGACAGGAGGCTTTCTGGGCCACACTGGCCATCCTAGCCTAATAATTGTGGAACCAGAGCAATGAGAAAACCTACCTAAAAAAAAACTGAGGTGGATGGTTCTGAGGAACAGCACCCAAGGTTGACGTTGACCTCTGGCTTCCAGACACATGCAGATGTGCACAAACACACACTGAGAGAAAAAGCTCCACAGATTAGCTGCAAAACAGTGTGACTAAGGTGTCACTGATCTGTTAACACTAAGTCGGTAAAGTTTATGTTGTCTACATGTAATGCTTTTCTAAAAACATCTAGAACTGTGGGTCTCAAATTTCAACAGGCATAAGAATACCCCAAACGTGCTTACACAGGTTCCAGAGTCCCTTTCCTAGAGATTCTGCCTCAGTGAAGTCTGGGGATGGATTCAGTCCTGGGATCTGCATTTTCATAAACTCCCCAGGCTTATTGGTCCCATTAGGAACTCATGTTATGGAGCTGAAAACATGGCTCAGTGGTTAACACTGCTCTTATAGAGGAGCCAAGTTTGGTTCTCAGAACCTGTGTTGAGTGGCTCACAACCATCTGTAACTCCAACTCCAGGGGCTCAAACACCCTCTTCTGGCCTCAAAGAGTACCTACAGTCATGTGCATCACACACACACACACACACACACACACACTTAAAAATAAATCTTAAAACAAACTCATGTATGGGCCATGAAAATGGCTCAGTAAATAAAGACTTGCCACCAAGCCTGATGGCCTGAGTTTGATCCCTGGGACCTACATGGTGAAGGGAGAAAACCAACTCCTACAAGTTGTCCTCTGACCTCCCCACACATGTGACCTTCACCTCACTATCACACACAAAAATGATTTTTAAAAAAGAATTATGTATTTCTCTACGTAAATGACTATATACAGGTGTTCTTTTGAACATTCTGTCCTGATCAGTATCTAGGTTTTTTTTTTTAATTTTAAAAGAGTGGATGTAGCATGTGCACACATATCTGTATCTATAGATAAGAACATAGGAACTCGTTAGTAAAAACCCCAGCTAGAAGGCCAACTAGAGGGCCCTCTTTCCTCAAGGAAGCTGAGCCACTGAGCTCCTGTGTGTGGCCCTGGGATCTGGGCCCATGGGGCTCTCATATTTCTGCCAGGACAAGCTTAGCATCTTGCCAGGAGTGTGTCAACTAAAGCAAACACATGCCCATAGGATGTCCCCAATAAGGGAATAATGTCATACACACCCTGCTGGTGGGGGGGGGTGTCTGCCGTCTCAGCAGCTGGAGCAGGAGCCTGGCTCAAGCCTCTGCTCTGTAGACAGCATTGAGAAACCACAATTCCCTGGGGCTGCAGAGGAAGCAGAGGCCAGGGAGAGCCCCAGGAAGAGCAGAAGAGACCAGAGAGGAAGCAGTTTACTACAGGCACCCTACACCCCATATCCCCAACTGCCAGAGAAGGCTCTGCTCACCATCTCTAGCCAGTAACCAGCGTCCTCGGCTCAACCACATCCAACTCTGCAGTCATTTGTCATCTTCCTCGTGCCAACCGCACTCCACACTTCCACACTCAACCCCGGCACCATCATTATGTGGCTATGTGGTGAGGCTGCTGCTCTTTGGACTTGAAGCACGGCACACTTCTAACCAGCCAGCATACCGACCCAAGCCACTGGCTTCTGATCCCCATGAAGCAGATCTGCCATGAAACAGGCAGAAATTCAATGTTGGGATTCTCCCTTACTCCCCAAGCCCTGAGAGGCCTCTGGCCACTGTTCTCACATGGCCATGTGGTCTTGTCACACATACAAACTCAAGATATTCCTGAATTATTTGTCTAATAGGGCCTGACCCCAGCAACAAATCATGTAAGCATTAGGCCTGCTGAGTGCTGGACCCCACTTCATTTCCTCTGGAAAGATCAGGGGCCTTCCTGACTGATGGTCCTTACAACATAGGTATTATGTGGAAGTCACCTTAAGTCACCCTTTTCTTAATTAAGAAAATGGGGATTTGAGAAAGGGATAGTGCTTTATTAGATTCACCCGAGTTCTAAAGTGTGCGACAGAACTAAGTCCTCAAAATCAAGCCACATTTACTATAGCATAGCTTTCTATTTACAAAGAGGCACTCAAAAAAACAAATTAAGTGAGCAAACTTCGTTACCAAATGCCTAACAGTAATGCTGACCGGGCTGGGGGCTGTAGCTCAGTGGTAAAGCTCACCCATGTGCACAAGTTGATGTTGAGCCCTAGAAAGAACTGGTTTTACTGATAAATTCACCACACTAAGGCAGGCACTACGCTAAGGTCTCCTGCAACACTTAGTTTATAACCCACCATGACCCTATGACAGATATCTTCAGTCTACATGCCAAGAAATGGCGACTCAGAAAACTTCATTCATTTCACCAATGGCACATTGTGAGTAGAAAAGCCAGACATGGGCCAGGGTCTCCTTCTTAAACTCCTTGCACTTAACTTTGGTGAAATATTCTAGATTGGTCTAGGTCCACCACTATAGGCACAGCAAAGGTCTTTAGCCTATATCGGAGAACAAAAAGGAAGGAATGGCAATGTAAACAAGAAAGGGTGATTGTATAGTCAATGAACCAGCTGTCGCTTATCAATCCACCTCCACGGGGCTTGGTGCCCGGGTCCCTGTAGAAGCCATAATCCTCAGAGAGACCCCGTTACATATGTGTGGCACAAATTCTCAAAGCACCTCCAAACGATTTCCCAGCTGGCAAGAAAGATGCCACCATCTCTGGTAACTAACCTCTTGCCGGCTCAGAGTTTTTCAGTTAGTATAGGTTTCTACAGGGCTTATCTTCTAACTTTTCCAAGCCAGCTGATAAGATTCGCCAGCCCTGTTAAAGGGAGATAGGATCCAGCCAGCTGTCGTGAAACATAGATTACCCCAACAAGGCATCACCAGAGACAAAGGCCCTGAAAGAGGAGCCTTGCCTGCTGTCTGCCAATGTGGCTGAAATCCAGGCGCTCTGGGTCTCCCGTGGGGGCAGGGAATAGGGGTGATGGCCATTTGCCTTGGGCCTGCCTTGTCTTGCTGAACAGGTCGTTGGGATGAGGGGACAGAAGAGATAGGCTGATAATTTAGGGACAGTTGCGTGCTAAAGACAAAGGAAACAAAGATGCTCCTTGGTCTACCTTATTCACTGTGTCTGTCTCTGAGGATGTAGTCCCTGGTGCTGTGCTAAGCAGCCCCTTGGGCCTCACTTGCCCCGGCTGGAGTCCTTGCAAGGGGAGGCTCATCAACATGCCCACCACCCTTCCTGGATGGCTGGTCACCTTGCAGACAGGTGCCCTTACAGTTCGGGTGCCCCCAGGTGATGATGTCTGAGGGTCAGGTGCGCGCTCATCTGCACCCACGTGACAGCTGAGAGCCAGACCCCAGGCCAGGCGAGTCAAGGGAGCTGTCCCCAGCGTGTGCCCCGGTGGAGATCGTCACCCCTCACCTGGCTCCACCCTCGGAGCGCTGCTGCCACTCGAGTCCCCAGCTCGCTCTAGCCGCAAGGCCGAGTCGGAGCCCCGAGAGCCCGTGGCACCGCGCCCGGCCAAGGCCGCCCTCCCGGGGCCTGTCCTCACGCGGGGCCGGGTGAGCCGCCCGCAGGCCTGGGCCCGGCCGGCTCCTCCCGTGCCCGCCCGCCCCTGCCCGTCTTCCCGCGCCGGCCTCACTTAACTGTTCCCCGCTGGGGCGGCGGCGGCTGCGGCGGCGGCGGGTCCCGGCTCCGTCTCACGCAGAAGCAGCTTCTCATCGCCCGGGCGGCGCGGGAGGAGCCGGGCCCGGGGCCCAGGCGGCTGCAGCCGGCGCCGCAGCTCGAGCGCAGCCTCCCC